AAAGTTTAAATTTGTCAGTAAAACAATTTTTGTCACCGATACAGAATTGGGCTATAATACTGCTCCGACACCGCCAACTTATTGCATAAGAAGATTGCTCAATGTGTAAAATATGTAGACACATTTCAAAACAATGGCACTCAAAATTAAGATATTATACTAAAATTACTGAGTTTTCAAACTGATCTGATATTTTGGTACATGAAAATATCAACTTTATTTTAGTACCAAAATTTAAAACTGTTAAATCAATCTGGACAATTCACGGTTTATTGAAATTTCTGAGGTATTTATTTGTTTTGTCGGCGACTATTGATGCATGTACAAGACCAAATTAAATTATTAGAAACGAAAATGCGCTCTGTCCGACTAAATGTTCCGCATACACATGGAGCAAACTTGTATTACTTAAAATTAATTAATTTAAACTTAATAATAATAAAGGAAAAATATCTGTAAGGATATCGTTGAAGAACTCACAAGAGGTAAAAAAATTACCATAAGGTTTGCTTCCCGGTGGCTGGAGGGGATTCGTCTGAGGCAGTGATTGATCATTCTGGCCACGCACATTCGTCAACGATGGAAATTCCGTTGGGTCGAGTAGCGCGGGCGTTGCCGCATCTCCACTGCCACCAAACACATTGGGAAACCCACTTGCACCACCTCCAGTACCATAGCCACCGCGGCCCGATTGCATAAAGCTGCCCATATTCGACTGTGTGAAGAAACGAAGGTATGTGTAAGACGTGTATACAAATTGCATTGGTAACGAAAATAAAAGTTAATCGATGCCTTAAAAAACTTACCATAGGGCCGCCACCTAACGCCTGCATTGCTCGTCGTTCGAACGTTTGTTGACCAAAGATATTCGCGCGACCACCTCTCGATAACGCCGGACCGCCCACCGACAATTGTGCATTGCGATTCGGTGAGAGTTGAGGTTGTTGCGTTTGTCCATAATTCGCACCGCCTTGAAGAAAAAAAAGTGGCACACGTGATTATTGGAAGATTGAAATTATGTTGCTACAAAGGGGGTATATCGATGGTCCTAAAAATTAACTTTTCCTACTGAACATTGGCACATGTCTCTAATCATTTTCTAATCCATGTCTAAGCCTTACTAAATTTTTTTAAAGCGGTGATAAAAATTTAGTACTGATTAGACATGAATGATCATAGACATGTGTCACTGTTCAGTATAAGGGTTTCTTTTTTAGTTTTGAGTGATGTCGTTATTGCAGGTAATCATGGGTATATAAATATGTATGTATAACATTGAGAATAACCAAAATAATTCCACCGGGACTGGGAGTTAAAAAAGCGTATTTCGATCAGCTGCCTGAAGAGATAATGTTTCTCGACTCGACGGTAGAGCTTGGGGCCCAGACAAAGAAACGTATAAGGCGATTTGCCATCTGGTTCTAAATTATGTCAAACGCAGTAGAGAACCTAAAGAGTTGTTAGAACACTGTACTCAGGACTCCCACGCGATGACTTTTTATATCCCCGAGCATCATCTCTCAATGAAGGGGCACTACCGAGCAAACAGTTCCTATTAGGAAGATACCGCGTGGGCCAACCTTCTCTGAGCCACGTCAGAATCCATCTGATGGCTTTTATGTAGACTATCCGCTGATTTTTTATATCGTTGTTTTTGTTGTTGTAACAGCATACAAACTCCCTAAAGAGTTTTTGGGAAGTGTTGCCGGAGTGACAGTCGTTGGCCAGATTTTTATCTGGAACGTTCCAGATGCGTAGACCCGACTGTAGTGGGAACGTCGTCGGAGGTCGTGTCACGAGTTCTTAAAATGCTTATAACGGGGTGCGTAAAAGCCTCTATTGTTGTTGTTGTTGTTGTAGCGGCTACAACAACCCCGCCCAGGACGGTTGGTATCTCAGTCGTTGTCGTCAAGTTCCACTAACGGCAACCCTAGGAAGCGTGCAGCTTCTGAGGGGTTTGTCCACAGGGACAAGGCCGTTAGGGTTGTCGGGTTTTCCGGGTTGTCTTAACTACTACTGAGAGAAGAGCTGTAGGACTTTATTTTTAGCTAAAGGGTCACTGTTCCTGTTCTTTGCACAGTATGAGTATTGAGAATACTCTTAACGAAATTTGGACTCCTATCGAACTCATTTTTTTTTTTTAATTTTACTATTGCTTTATACATCGACTTATTAAAAAAAATGTACTAAAATCGTTCCCTAATCGCTACAGTTGCAAATCCTCAGCGATCACTAGTGCTGCGATCCGCAGAACTGGCCTGGCGTAAATGTTCCCGATTAATTGCCGAACAGTAACTTTAGCGGGCGAATTCGCTAATTTCCTGTAGCTTACCTAAAGATATTAGGCGCGCCGCTGCGCCGAAGCCGTGACCACCTTGTGAATACGAAGTTAGTCAATAAGTGGATGCAGCGCTTAGACGATTCTAATTCAAATAATTTCCACCTAAATATACCAACATCCTGCTTTTGAATTTGTGTAATTCAACATCTAAATTTTTTATTTGTATTGCAGCAGCATTCGTGAAAAAACTTACCCGTTGGAAACATGCCAGACGTAGGTGTTACATGCCCGGAGAGTGAACTACCACCAAACCCACCTGTAGTTCGCCCCGTCATTGACGCGTTTGCTAAACTTCTCGGAGGTTGTTGAAAATTCAAATTCGCCATGGTCTGAAAAGAAAAATTAAAAACGTGTGATATAAACAAATACATATATGATAAATTATTTTTATGTTTTTATTGTTGTTATGAAAGCATACAAATTCTCCAGCTTTTGGGGAATGATGAGCGAGTGACAATTTTTGGTCAGATATAAATCTGCGTAGTTCCGGTCATGTAGACCCGACTGTCGGGGGAACGCCCTTAAAGTAGTATATTTAAATTTTTGATTAATGCATTTGATTTGTTAGTGTTTCACTACTAAGTGGTACTTTTTGGATACATTATTCAGGACATTTTCTGAATCGCCTAATGTTTTTCTATAGGGCCGTTGGATTTTTCGTTGTGAAAATATCAAGTTGATAGAATCGAAGCAGTTCAGAGTTCAAAAAGCTTCGAAGCTTTCGAGGTTTTGGAAGCTTGATCTTGGTGGTGTAAAGCAATATATTGAGAACTAATTTTTTTTCATAAAACTCTGTTTTCTATTTTTTACGGTCTTGTATAATAGAAAGTTTATACAAAATGATAAAGCACAAGTACTAACCCATGAGAGGGCGCGCATGCGCAAAACACCAAGTAGGTAAATTTGTTTATGACAATTCACATACACACACATCGAGATATGTTAACCCAACATCAATAAAAAAAATAATATTTCCTGGAAAAAGAACATCGTACCCTTTTATTTGTCCTTAAACGAAGAGCAGCAAACTTAGACATTCCTAAACTAATTCGATTTACTGCTGGGATCGTATTGCAATTTATGCAGGCACACAAAAGCATAAACTCTCACATTCACACTTTGCAATAACGTTAACAGCAAAGTTTAAGAGAATGTAGTAAATGGCAACAAAACTACAAAACAAAATGGTTTAGAATGAAAGAAGCAACGAAACACGATACCAGCTGCTTTGCAGAAACATACTCTCCATACATGGATGGATGGCAGATGAAAAGATAAACTAAAGGAAGTGGAGCTCTTTGGATGGCAGATAATTATGGGTGTGTTACAAATGGCAGTACAATTTCTGGTATTTCTGAACTTGGAGTTAAGTTTCTGCACTTATCGGAAACTTCAAACAATGAACGCTTTTAGTTTGCCTTTAGAGTGGTTTGCCATCACTTACTTATTTTTAATGCTCACTAATACCGAACAGCTATGTGTTTTATTATTATTATTATTTCTTTATTTAGCACTAGCTATTTTAAACTTACAGGTACATTTTTACATATACATTCATAGTTTCAATAGATTCTTATAGACTTTTTGAGTATTAAAATATGGCTTCTTTAATGTAATCTATTATCAGACATCTAAATACAATAATGTTTCTCTCATTCTTTATATTATTAGGTAATTCATTAAATATTTTCAGACTTTTATACAATAAAATAGTTTGTGTCTTATTAGATTTATAGAGAATAATGCTGAAATCATTTTTTTTTCTTAAGACATAGGGTTGGTTGTTGCTGTTTTTTAATTTTTATTTTGAAATTAGAACTTCTTGCAATCACGGAATGATGGAAGTTTTCATGGTAGAAATACGCTAGGAGGTTTAATATATAGCCCGACGAACGGCGAAAATTATTAGAAAAAAAAACTTGCCGGATTTTTGTTGGATCAGGAATCGGATCCTCCTCATTTGTGCGAAAGATAAAGGTAAAAGGTTATAAGCGTTATTGCATCGATTATTTATAAAATTAAAACTAAGAGAACTCAATAGTCAAAGAACAATAGCTCATTCATGAATAGAGTATACCGGGTTAAGATTAGCATAATATTGACCAAAGGAATAACGCGGTTATTAAAGGTTTTTAAGTCTTGCACCAATTCAAAATATTTTTATTGAGTGGTAAACTGGGGGACATATTGAAAAATTAAAAGGAAGAAAATATTATGAAAGTACAGAAAAAGTTGGAACACCAATTCAGCAAGTGTATCACACTAAAAAAATAAAATGCTTCTCGTACGTATGAAGCAATACCAGAAATTTTCAATGCAATTCCCTGTCAAATTATGGATAAGTAAAAACATTAACAAGCTGACAACGGGTCAGCGAAATTGCGCATATGGAAACAGTGCTTTTAGATATTATTTCGGTTTCAACCAAAACGAAGCTTTCTTTCTCAATTCGACAAAACAAAGCACTTTATATTTCTAGTATAGATACACTTGATCCAATGGTGTTCCAACTTATTCCCTTATCCCTTCAAAATACCTAGCTATCAGTTTACCGTTTAATAAATTAAAAAAAATGCAAAGATCTGTATGATGAAGTACATATGTGAATGAATGTCCACTCAAAAGCTGCAAAAAAATACGCCTCTGAGCATACGCTTTACTACACGCAGCACAGAAACTCTACGTGCAGTTAAAAGTAGTTAAGCAGTTAGAACACCTAGTAGTAGTAAACCCGAGAATGGCAACAAAATTGCAACCAGAAGCTCCTATGAAGAATCAACAAAGCACTAGCTCAACAATGCAATAACAAATACATACACAAACGTACATACTAAGGTATTGTTTCTACCAATGCTGGCCCAAGCATAAGCATGTTAACCGCAACGGGAAGTTAAGAATCAGTCAAGTCAGCTGCACTTAAATGTCTTGCCAACAAAAACAAAACAAAAAACATACACAATCGGCCCGTCATTGTTATAATTAGGGCTCGGAATCTCATACAAATCCATTTTTTTTTTTTACTGGGCATCTTTAAATGGAAATGGTTGATATATTTGCGAATCATAAAATTTGCTTTAAAATGGCATTCAAACGTTAGTGCATATTTTGCAAAAAATACCCGTGTTTTTGCATATTAATTGCGCTCATCTTTGTATATTTTATAATAAATGAATATGGTTTTTCATATTTTAGCTTTTTTTGTTTTACAAACATTTAAATTTAGTGCGAAATCTCTTCGTAAAAAAAATACATTTAATTTTTTCCCAAATATTCATCTGATTAACTTCTTGGATAGACAAGCGGCCATTAAGGCACTCTCTTCTATCTCTGTTAGATCTCAATTAGTGGAGGACTGTAGGAGAGGGCTGGCTTATATCTCTTACCAATACGAGATTACCCATGTGGGTCCCGCGACATAGGGACATTAACGGAAACGAGGCAGCGGACCGAATGTGTCCCACGCAAATATTATCGAAACTTATCATTTTAAGGCCAAGCAGAGGTGTAACCGTACAGGATTGTACAGGATTATCCGGCAGTTATGGATGTCCTGCGACCCACTTAAAACCATAGCTCTCTTGGGAATGTGCAAAGAACTTAAATACAACTTACTCCAGTGTGCACAGGGTACTGGCCCGTTCGGGTACATGCCGAAAGGATTTGATCCTTCAACAGGTTCTGTCGCAGTTGCGACGACCCTGGCTAAAAAGAGACAGTCAATCACTCCCTTGTGAGTGTCCAGCCCTCGCAAGGATGGGGCTTAAGACACTCGGTTAGCCATTCTTAAAGAATGTTTTGGGGTGCAGCTGCTTCTCTCTGTAAGACGTACTGAAATTCATTAAAGCCGCCAAATGGCTGTAGGTTGTACAAGTTGTGGAATTAAAATGACAAGCTTGCTAATTGCCTGTCACCAGGGTGACAATCCACTTAAACCAACCAAACATTTACCTGGAGCAGGATTAAACGGTCAATGTTTCTATTTGTACAAGATTGTAACTGTCTGCTTGATTATAAACTGATTATAGTATTGCATTTTAAAAATTGCTTTCGTTACTTTCTTTTTAAAATGCATGTGTTATTTATTTTTGTACCGGCAACAATATATTAGAGAAATAATTTTAATTGCTTATTTTACTTGTTTATAGCGCATATTTGTGAATTTTGAGTGCATACTGTATGCGCATATTTTAGATTTTTTTTAGTGCATGAGTTTCCGAGCCCTAGTTATAATCATTCAACCAGCCAACCAAGCAAGCAACCAGCCACCAGTAGCCAACTTGCCACCACATAACAAAAGATTCTACATTACTTCGTATGAAACTATGCCCATGCGAATGCCTCCCTTTTAGCGAAGGTGTGTGCACACAAATAAATGTTTGTTACTGTATTGACAGTGTAAAAACCTGTGCATATGGCACATGTAGTGAGCATATAATGAAAGGAGACATGCATAAAGGATATAATCGATGGCAAATATAGAAGCTTCGTTGTGAAGCAAAAAAAAAACTTCAAATGCACAATGGCAAGGTGGCGTTCAAATATATATATGTAAGTATGTATGTATGTGCATGTGTTTATATGATTGCGAGTCGCGCGATTTCTGGACAACAACTTATAGCTACATGTGTTGTTGTGTTCTTTGTTTATGTAGTTGAATTTGATTGATTTCAACGTTGGTAAAACATATTACTGTTGTTGTTTACGTAAGATACGTAAGGTAAGAGGTAGATGGGGATAATTGCACATACATATCTTCATGCATAACGTGTTTTAACATATACACACATAGTACGTTATTCAAAGCAGTTGTGTATTTTTATAATTTAGGTACTACATACATATATCTTCTTTGGTACAATTTTATTTCTCATTCCTGTATGGTTTCCCGCTGTTTTATTGACTTTTTATATAATATATGTATTATAGAAATTCAGCAAACCTAAACAGGTAAAATAATATTACAGAACATTCGCAGCACAACAGCACTATTTAAATTAAGCACCGTTAGTGATGTTTTTCTATTTTGAATTTTTTATTAAATATTAGTTTGGAGCACAGTATAGTTTGGAGGAAGTTTCCCGCTTTTTTCTACATCCAATTTCTGTCAAATCCCGCTTTGAACATCCTCTATTTGTAATTTAACCACACGTTCCTAGTACATATGTATATTAACTTACCTAGGTTTCTCCCTTTCTCCTCTGTTCTCTGCTGCTGTTTAACACACGATCGACACACTGTAGTTGCTGCGTTCACCGCATCTAACATTCCAAGTGACCTGTTTTCCGCAGGAGTTCGCGCGCACCGCAAAACGTCGCAACTTCTGCTACACTGCGTCTGAATTCCTTAACTTGTACAATTAGTGTCGCAAAGCGTTTAAAGCCTGCGTACTGAATTTATTTTTATGCCAAGGTAATTTTTACCCAAAAACGTAATGCTTCGAAGGAAATGTGGCTTCTAATTGTTGATGAATTGCTAAATCAAATGCCGTCGCAATCGTTGCCTGTGCGTCCAATATTAAAATTGATACATAAATTTAAACTCACACGATGGTAAATTTTAAAAGCTTACGTTATCAGATGTAGATTAATCAACAAATATTAATTCGACGCTAAAATTGTTTTATGTTGAGTTTACTCAAGACCTGAGCAAACTACAGCTGGTATCGGTTTATTCGCCGATACAAAGACGAGGATGGCTCATTAGATGGTTAACGAATTGCTTTCCAATTTGTTTTCGCCTTTTGCTAACTTGTTTCTTTGTTCTTGGGAAAGAAACTCAGTGCGCCTCTTGAGGTGCCTAGTTTAGACGGAACGACGAAAATTTTCCACTTCCCTATTGGCGCTTAGGGGTAGCCTTCACGGCCTAATTGGAGTCCTTTTTCTTATACTTCAGAGCTTTCACACAGGAGATATTGAATCTCAATTGCAATTTGCACATAAAATGCGCTTTCTGGTTTTCTTGCACTACTACTTTTACACTTTTTTGTTCACAAAAAATTGATTTCAATTTTTCACACAATTTTTCTAACACTGCGATACGACAATGGCGACACGAACACCTCAAACGAGTCGACGAACGAGTAGCTGAATCAACGCTGAATAAACATGAAGGCTGAAAGTGCGCAGAGTCGTATGCGAAATACAAAAATTTGTGCATAATTGTAAATGAAAAAAATTAAAAAATTTCTTTGCAACAAATGTTCCATACTATAAAATAGTGTGTTAACTGTTAAATTTGCACGTTTTTTAACCCTCTTTTGAGTTTAAATATAGTTATTTGGTGTCAAGGGGATTATCTGGAATGTATAAAGAAACGTAGCCTTAAGGGCCGGTTACTCAATGTCTGGTTAACACTAATCTCCGTTTAAACATCATTATCGACGTGTTCGGCACCATGCATATAACATGGAGTCGGTAATGTCGATAACGATGGTTCACCGGAGATAAGTGTTAACCAGACATTGAGTAACCGACCCTAAGGGCCGGTTGTTCAATGTCTGATTAGCGCAAATCGGAGGTAGAAGCTCCGGTTAAATACAACTCCGGTTAAATAAAATCACTACTTGCCGGTTAAACATCATTATCGACTTTTTCGACATCATGCCTTTAACATTTGATCGATAAAGCAGTCGTTGTAATTAACCAGAGCTTCTACCTCCGATTAGTGTTAGTCAGACATTGAACAACCGGCCCAAAGTTTTTATTAGAATCTTGCCACAAAGAGCTGGATCTTTCGGCTTTTAATTCAAAAGCTCCCCTAGCCTAATAAATATGCACTGTGTATGCTGCCTTAAATTCGAAGATTCGAAACCCTTTGAAGTGCTGATAATGCAGTGGATCAGTATTTTTTATAAGCATCCCTGCAAGACAATGATAAATCTGCTTTTTGAAGATGCTTTATTTATTTATTTGATGTCTAAAGTTGAAATATTACAAACTATACAGTTATATTTTTAGTAACAAGTTTAATATCTTAAATGAACTTAAAGAGTAGATGCATGATTTTGATTCCGACAAGTCATTTCTAAAAATTCGAGAAACAGTTGTACTCCGACAAAGCCCTATTAATGGGGCATTTGTATTGTAGACGGTGCTATCTATTTTCCCAGTTCTTTTGGGAATTATTAAACAATTTCCAAAAAAACGGCTTTAAATAGTTGCCTTCCTGCCAAATACGTCTATACAAAGGAAATATTTGTAATAGCTTAAAGGCCAAAATAAAACAGAGCAGTGGCAGTTGTTAAAATCAACTGTTACTGCTAATATTGGCAGTCACTGCCGCAGCAAATAAAATACGGCGTTGTCAGTGACAGCTTTTTTTGACATTCCCTTTTGTTTGTTTATATTTTTGTTGCTGTCTTTTAGGCAGAAAATGGCTGCATTTTATTTATGTCAAATTCAGCATGCGAAGTTTGCTGCGATAAAGGCAGTGGCAGTGAATTTAGAATTTAGGCTAAACTGAGCAGTACTGCCAGCTGCCACTGCTGTATTGTGAGTCGCTTCATTGGACACCACACTTTCTAAAAAACAGCTGATTTCGAAAAACTGCCACTACCACTGCCACTGCGTTATTGTATTTTGGGCTTAAATTTGCAGAACTTAATTTTTCATTAGCCGCGTCTTGCAGGGCATTATCAAGCCGAATTGAGGCAAGGCGCATCCATACAAGGTGGTGGCAATTGCATATAAGTAAAGTCCCGTGCATTTTGTTATTGCTTTTTGGTACTTCAGGATGTCAAAACGAATGGGTATAGGAGATCATTTTCGTCATTTTCGTGCATTTCCTTTCGTTGACATCCTAATGATGCGCCATTTCGTCTTGGATGACATTCTCGTGTACTAGTGTATAGGCAAAAATATCCAATCAGCTGTTCAATCAACCCCACCTTGTATTGATGCGCCTTGAATTGAGATATTCATAAGCCGATTACAACCCTGTCCTTACATTGACAGCTAAATTCATGGGATATTCTTTCGAAGTGACAAATTTCCCCAATCATATGATCGAAAAAAAGATTGGAGCCAGTCGAAAATTTTTACACGACGGACTGACTTGGGGTAGCGCGCAGGCACACATTTCTACCTACTCCTGCTATTCTGCAAGTAAAATAATTTTTCACATACCTGGCAGTTCAGTTTTACTGATTTTTGTCAAGAACTTATTCAAATTAGATAAAATTTAGCAAACGCGTGAAAAAATTAACTTTACATGTGTATTTACTGCAATTTTTAGGAATCTTGAGATTGTGAAAACTGGATTCCATCGGTGAAATCTGAAAAATATTCTGTGTGAAAAGAAAAAAGAAAATTTGCAAAGATGGCACTCAGCGACGCAGATGTACAAAAACAGGTGAGAAGAATTGTAAAATATATCAGAATAATGGTCTAGCAACGGTGCAAATTTTCCCCAATTCATTTTGCCATAGTATTTTTGCGAATATCCAATTGGAAAATTTTAATGCAGCTTTATTTAACGCTATGAACGATAGCAGCAGTGTTGGCAGCCATCATGTCATGGGATTTATGTCATGTGAATACGGAGTGTGTGATAGTTGTGAATACAAAGAGAAAAGAAACTGCAAAGTGCTAAAGCTAACTATTTTTATGACTCGCAATTGTTAAAGAAAGAATTTACATAATTTTCTAAAAAATTCACAAAAGTTAAGGGAGTTTTCACTTCTTATTGGAAGGTAGTGGGCAAAAATCAACGGCGCTAGTCATGTGACACACTGGAGATTATGGCATTAGTGTGAGTGAGACAAAATGAGTATCATGCTTAGTTCAAGGCAGTTATCTCGTTTTATTTGCTGTAAAGTACTGATGAATAGGAAATCGAGTTGGGCTAAGATAAATGGGGTTTAAAATTTGATGAAGTGGGTGGTGAAGGATTTTTTTTGGGAAAGGATAGTTGTGGGGGGTGACAATTACCAAAGAACGCACAAACATATCACAAATAGGCGGATTATTTTGCAAATCTGATCATTATTTTGATAGGCCTGTCTAGGACCAATGCACCCCTCTTGCTTATTTATTGTTTACATATTTGGCGCTTGAAATTTAAATGTACGTTCCGATGGCGGACTCAAGGATTCTCCGAAATTAAAATTTCAAAGCTTAACTGGGGGTATCATGTGATTAAAGATAGTGGGAGAATGAATAAATATAAATGTGTAGGTACACACATATCGCACACTGAGATCGAAAGTGCGATCAACTCGGAGGGGGGGATTTACATCCAAATTTCCCGATATGTATATACTATGTACATATACATATGTGCGTGTAACACTGAGTTAGACCGGAGACCGGTTAAAATAAGATACATTTTTACTTGGTAATAATAGAAACGAATCCGTTTTAGTTTATAAAATATTTAACAAATATTTCGATACCTTTATTAATCGCAGATTAAGCATATGATGGCTTTCATTGAGCAAGAAGCCAATGAAAAGGCCGAAGAAATCGATGCTAAAGCCGAAGAGGAATTCAATATTGAAAAGGGACGTCTGGTGCAACAACAGCGTCTCAAGATCATGGAGTACTATGAAAAGAAGGAGAAGCAAGTGGAACTGCAAAAAAAGATTCAATCATCGAATATGCTGAACCAAGCGCGTTTGAAGGTAATAAACTAATCAGTCGATTACGGATGCCAACCAAAGTTCAGTTGGGTTGTCAGCGGCAGAAATATTATTCTAATTGGCGACCGAGTTGCTACCTTGGCAAGTGCATGTTTTGAGCGAGCCGCGGAAATTTTGATTTTGTTTATGTATTTTTTTAACTGTTTCTTCATAATACTTACATATCGTCGCTGGTGTAACATGAAAAGTATAGTTTTGAGAAAAACGAATGGGAAGTTTTTATAAACCATTACAACCCATACAAATACAATTTCGTTTTTCGGGAATAAATTAGTGAGCCAAAGAGATATTTAAGAAAACTAAAGATTTTTCTAATAGATTAAAGGATTGTCTATCCAATGGTGCAATTATCGAATAATAGTGTATGTGGCATTTACACTGTTTCTTTATTCGAGCGACGATATATTATACCCAGCTGAGATTGCGTTGCAATCTATAATCGACCGATTATTTATAATAAATAAACACAACAAATTTCTAATATTAAAATTTTTAACGAAGGTTTTGAAAGTGCGTGAAGATCACGTTCGCAATGTACTTGATGAGGCCCGGCGTCGTCTTGGTGAAGTAACAAAGAATCCCGGTGAATATAAAGAGGTTTTGCAGAAACTTATCTTGCAAGCGCTCTACCAGGCCATGGAACCGAGTGTCATTTTACGCTGCCGTCAGGCCGATATTGGCCTACTTAATGAAGTGCTACCCGCGACAGTTGAGGAGTACAAGACACAAATTGGCAAAGATGTGAATGTACATATCGATACGGATAATCATCTGTCGGCGGATACTTGCGGTGGAATTGAGTTGATTGCCCTCAATGGACGTCTAAAGGTATTTTTTGTTTAAATAATGAAATGATAGCGTTATTTTTAATACATAATTTCGACGTTTAGTCCATTTTCTATGCCTGGTTAAGTCATATAGAACCCAAAAACCTCATATATACGTGTTTGCATGTTTGGAATTTTCGGTAAACACTTCTGTTTTTAATTGTTCCAGGTACCAAATACTCTGGAGTCCAGATTAGAACTGATTGCGCAACAACTTGTGCCAGAGATCCGTAACGCTTTGTTTGGTCGTAATGTCAATCGTAAATTCACCGATTAAATAATTTAAGTGTAAATACTATGCAACAAACAAAACCAACAGACATACATATAAATCCTACATACATATTTAAAGATGAAAACAAGTAAAAAATACTGCAAAAAGTAGTTGAATGTGAGTTTATGATATAATTTTAAAATGCATATAAGAGTTAATTTACCGAAACTTAATTGTTAGCTAATAAAATTGTCAAAATATATAGTGGATGGTAGGAAATTCATAAGGCGGAATTGCGATAATACTGCAACAGCATGAACTCAATGTTTGGAATAATAAATTACTCTCAGTGAGAAGTTTTCGTAGCAGCGAAAGTGCGAAAGAAGAGAAGACAAACAGAGGGGCCTCCCTATAATAATTTTGAAAACAATTTATATATAAACATTGCATTGTGTATATCAATAACACCGGGTTCCATTCAAAGATTCGCTGCCGTGTTACAACACACAAACAATCGTTCAGGAGCATTTGCAAACCAATAAGATATTCATTGTTTGAAGATACATAAATATATGAAATTATTAAAACTACAGACAATGAGCGCAGATAAATTGTAAGAATGAACAAGGCAGCCAAAAGTAGACAACTTAAACAAAAAATGTGGACACAAAATTGTGTTTTTAGTTATTCAAACGAAAAATTATATTCATTAAAATGCATAAAACTATCTTAAAGCAACAAACACACAACACATGCATAAATTGTATAAAACTAATACATAATCACACATTTATATACATTCCTGTACAAAAATTCTATTATGCTCGCTATTAATTTGAGAAATTGTTTTGTTCTGATGTCGAAGCAGCGATTAATAGAGCTCAGCAGTAAATTTAGAGTCAGGTCATGTTTTTAATGCAAACTCTATATCCACGCTTCATTGCTTGCTGCGGCTTCATGAATTGAAATACATACATATAAACATAAAATTTCCGTTTGAATTTATATTGTATTTTCGGAATACAACTATTGATGTAATTTACATTATTTGTTAAAATTTTCTATATCTAAAATTAAAATGTTCCCTCTATTTGGTTTAATTATAAACATGCACTATTAATAGACGTTTGTTGGTTGCCTAATGTTAAGCAGTTTATATAATTATATAGTAGCTTGATTAGACATTAATTGATTAGACAAAAATATAATCGTACAAAAAGTTACGGGCACCGCACTTATTCGCCGAAAAGCGTGCAACAAAGCAGAGATAGCGACAAGAAGAAATCGGAGGATGGTAAACATGTGGAATTGCATACGTACAGATGAGGTGACCCATGAAGCTTGAACTTTGCAGCAGTGTGCACACACTATCACCAAAAGGCAGTTGGAAATATTGGTAATAATGCGTTAGAAATCATTTTAAATGTGTGGCATGCAACATGTGTATGTGAATTACACGAAATTTGTGCTCTGAACATGTACTCAAATGGTGGGCAAAAAAAACCTCAGCATCGCTATATTTCAAACACTGAAATAAAAGCTCTTTATGTTGTGTTCTATTCGTTAAACAGCATTGTAGTTGATTTCACTGTGCGAAATGTAGCGCTCGCCGAAGAGATATGTTCGGAAAACAAATTTATTTTCCTACGTAGCGAAAAACTCAGTCTCATAAAGTTGTTTGTTTGTTGGTTGAAAGCGAATACGGGATTTTGCAGTTAAAAATATTTACGAGACGTCAGTTCGTCTTTGCGCAGGCGTGTTATTAAAGTTTTTAAGTGCTTAGAATTATTGAAATAAAATACTGTTTCAAAAGTATTTTAAAGTACTTAAGAGTTTTATTTCACAAGCCTGTAGTTAAGTTTTGTGGAGTTGCTTTTTTGCTGGTTTCTCACTATAGTTTATTATAATCAAGTGTGTATATGTTTGCCACAATTCTTTTAGTAATCTAAATGTTATCAATAATCCAAAAAAAAATAATAATAATGTATAAAAGTGTTGGAAATAATGCTACTGCACATTTTATAAATAACCTTGCGTATATGAAAAGTTTTAATGAAAAAAATTGGAAATATGTAAATCTCCGCTTGCTGCTGTATGTACGCATCTGTACGCATCTTTCCAACAGAGTCCTCGCTGCTGCTACTGCCTGCTTGCCTGTTGCCGCCTCGCTGTTCATATCAAATGAGCTTTAGGGAATGTTTGTAGCTTATTAAATGTTTTAAATTTGTATTTTTGTGCCGTTTTTGATTGTATCCTTCTCTTCTTTCGACTTTCTGTTAAGTTTAAAAGTATTTTTTTGTAAATGTATAATAAAAATTGATTTTTTTTTTGCAATTTGTGTAAAACAAACTAAAAATATAAACAAAAATGCTTTGCCTTTTTTGCTTTAATTGCATACTTATTATTGTTAGCATATAAAAATGCAATATTTTAGAACTAACACATACACACAAATATAACTAGTTCACCTAAATAACCGATGATGGGGAAGCTGCATTAGATTTGCTGTTATCATCGTTGTTCCAAAAAAATAAAGTATACATACACAAACTACATACATGCATATAAAATGATATTTAATATTAATAAAACAGTATTTGATTGCGACAGAGCGTACGGAAACGAAAAACAGAAGTGAGTCTTGATGTTGGGGGGTATTGCGGCTTTTGATTGATTCAGCGTTGTTGGTGTTGGTTTTTTTTTGCTGTCGAACTCGCCCAGATCGGGTAATATCTCGGTCGTTGTCGTCAAGCTCAACTAACGGAAGGCCCAGGAAGCGTGCAGCCTCAATGGGGTTGGTCCACAGGGACAAAGTCGTTAGCTGTGTCGGGTTTTCCGGGCATACGATGAGAGATGTTTCGAGTCGTGGGGTTTCTCTCCGCATGCCGGACACTCATATGGCACATCTGCGTCTAATCTGCTCAGGTATGAGTTTAACATGCTGCAGTAGCCAGAGCGAAGTTAAGCTATTGTGGTTCTAGTCTTCCGAGGCAGATGAAGCTCCGTCTCGTCGATGTCAGGCGGTTGTGGGCCTGGAACGGCATTCACAGGTCTGGAGTCTACATAACTTGAGACTGACTCCCTGTGAATGCCGCTCAGGGCCCGTCGATACGCAGACGGGTCCAGAGGTTGTTTAATGAACCTTTTACTTTGTTGACAATAGCGTTTGCGTGCACAGAGGAGAGCAGACTGTCCAATGTTACTCCGAGTATTTTGGGGTTATTCACCGTCGTGGTGTATTATCGACGTGAATTCCCAGCGGTAGTCTGATCTCCTTCGTCCAGGTGGTGAACAAGGTCGCAGAGGATTTTGTAGGGGAGAGAGTTAGGCAGTAAAGAAGCGAGAAAGCTCGGAGAGATACCCGTTTACTTTCGAGCACAAGTCATCAATTCGATTCCCAGACGCCATTATCGAACAATCGTCAGTGTAGGAGACAATCGAGATTCCCTCTGGTGGTTGAGGGAGATTTGAAATATAGTAGTTAAACAGTAATGGGGAAAGGACACCACCCTTTGGGACCCCCAGTTTTATTTTTCTAGGTTTGCTCGATTTGTCTCTAAACATTACTGACGAGTGTCGACCACTTAGATGATTCGCCGACCACCGTTTAAGCAGCGTGGAGTGGCTGACCGTGCCAAACGCCTTTGACAGGTCCAATCCTACTAGAATAGTTCTCTCACAGGGACGATTGCGGTTTAGGCCATTGTCTCATTGTCATATCGTCATTCAGCACGCTTTCCAGATTGTCTACATCTTTAACATGTTTTTGCAGAAATTATTCTGATTATTTAATTTAAAGAAACGAAAAACCTATTACTCCAACAAAGTTTTGTAAAAAACAACTCGTATAGTTTAAACTTTAAATCATAATTTATTTTAAAATTCTTAATCACTATGTGTCGATTGTTATTGTTAATATTTTCTATTTAATTATAAAACAACTACATAGTTAAAACTCCAGTCAAAGGGAACTATTTTTAGCGTTAACTTTTCCAATTTAAATGTATTATGTGTACATTACGTGAAAGTGTGTTCTTACTACAATACAATAAACGTATTAATCATTCTATTTACTCTTCATATAAGATAAAAGAACATTTATTAAATACATATTCAAGTAAATGGATATTTTATATACATATGATGTACATACATACGTTTGAGGGATAGGAAATATCCCAGTATATAATTTCAGCAGTTAAAAGTTCTTCCGAGAGGCCTTCCTGAGAGTCAATAGGTCTTCCACTCTACATTCCTTTTTTTTTGTATGGAGTGGCAGTGTGCGGGAGTGTTGAAGGCCTTCTTTCGCTACCCATGGAAGGCCCTCCAGAAGGGCTTTTATAGGCCGTATTTCAGATGGTTTTTAGAGGAGTTCTTTTAAAGTTGCTTCTTTAATTTATAAAAATCATACATACATATATTTGAAATATTTGCTTAAGGTTCATATCTAATATGTGTTATTGCAACTTAAAATGTTTATTGAAATTCATTTGTAATGCCAAATATAAATTTTTGCAATAGCGTAAATTGTAGGCCTCTTAGAACGGCTTTACTTAAGAAGGCCTAACTAAATTATCTTCGGGTATAATTTTGAATTGCAGTGATTAGTTCCGTTCAATTTAATAAAAGTATTGGTAAAATGTATTGCATATATGTATGTACAAGTAAATAAATAAATACAATTATTGAAAGTTAAATTTATTGCAGAATTAAGTAATTTATTTACATCCATAATGTTACCACATTGCATAAAAACAGGTATAGTTATTAAAAATTGTTTGGTCCAGCTTAATTAACGTTTTTCATATAACGTTTCAAGTACATACATATTTATTGCGCTTAACGGAAAATTTCAGATCTAAATTTCTACTTCTCTTAAAATTTAAAATATTTTATTTTTATATTCTTTAAATACATATGCATGCAATTTACCAGCTAAATCGTATACTATTAGTTTTTGCAGCGCTTTGATACCATATTCACTTTGCCGCCATTGCAATGCTTACCATTTGACGCACAACATGAACATCCGTGGTGGTATATGGCTCTATATCTTGCTTACCCATCGTGACATCGCAATCCATGCGCGCCACGCCGCCATTACTTGAAGGTGCACCTGCCACAGACTGTGCTGAGGCATGAAATTCTATACATTTTGTAACCGTCAATAATTCATCCAGATTGCTTACACTAATACCTGCACCTGGCATTATGACGATGTCACGATGTTTGGCAATTAATTGTGCAAGATTTTCACTTCCCTCGATAGCAGTCGCACGAAAGCCGCTACTAAGTAAACGCTTAAAACCCAGCTCCTTTATTATAGTGACTGTTTCATGCATCAATTGCGGATTGGTGAGATCGAATGCTCGATGAAATGTGACTGGCATGCCTGCAGCACGTTCTATTACACGATGACATTTTTCCACATCGATTGTACGTTGGTCGGTGAGGGCACCAAAGACAAAACCATCAGCGCCATTTGCACGCAGTAGTTCCAAATCCAAAAGCACTACTTCCATTTCTGAGTTTGAGTAGGTGAAGTCATTACCGCGCCTCGGCCGTAGCATACAGTAAATGGGTATGCTAATGAGCTTTTTAATCGTCTTCAACGAACCAGGAGATGGTGTTAGGCCGCCTTCTGTTAACGCCGAACAGAGTTCAATACGTGCCGCCCCACCTTCCGCTGCAGCTAGTGCTGATCCGATTGAGTCGACACAAACTTCCAATTTTATATCGTGTGTAGACATTGAAACTACGAGTTTTCCTTTTAGTTTAATCCAGGGTCTGTATTAATTTCAAAATATATATATCACCTGCCAAACAGTGACCAAAACAAATTTATTAGTGGTGGTAGATACTAGCTCTGATCCAGTACTCCATGAACTTACAGGATTTTACACGAACTTGCAGGAAGTTGCAGGAAAAATGTTCCCGTACTCCAAAATCCTGTAAATGAGAGCGACTTTTGGAGAGTTGTGTAGAGAATGAAGTTGCAAGATTTTACCCGAACTTTTTCTTCTGGTAAAATCATGAAAAGTGTCAAGCAATCACTGGTTGACGTTTTTACAGGAAAAATGGATTTTTTGTTCCCGTACTTTTTGTTGTTATTCACTTTTTACTCTCGCTTCAGAGAGTAATTTTGCTGTTTGACAGTTTTACAGGATTTTTCACGAAAAGTATTGGATCAGAGCTAGTGAGTAACAATAATAAGTACGGGAACAAAAAATCCATTTCTCCTGTAAAAACGTCAACCAGTGATTGCTTGACACTTTTCATGATTTTACCAGAAGAAAAAGTTCGGGTAAAATCTTGCAACTTCATTCTCTACATAACTCTCCAAAAGTCGCTCTCATTTACAGGATTTTGGAGTACGGGAACATTTTTCCTGCAACTTCCTGCAAGTTCGGGTGAAAATCCTGTAACTTCATGGAGTACTGGATCAGAGCTACTTCTTTTTATATTTCTCTTGTGGCAGATACTTGAATATATGTGACTGTCCCGGTTACTCAATAAGGCTGGGATACTATCGATAGTAATATCGAATTGAAAACTGTCACTATTGATAGTTTTTGAAAACCAACGATGTCGGTTTTAGCGAAACTTCTCTCCTTACACATCTTAACATTACATTATGGCTGATTTATTCATTCTGAACGTTTGGAATAAACTTTTTTGTTAACTTATTCTTTAGAACGTTCCTGATGATATGTTAACGTATATTTCAAACGTATTCCGTTTATTCCGGCTGTGAAATGGGATTATCCGGAATGTATAAAGAAACGCAGCCTATTTGTTTTCATCCAAGAAAATTCACAATACATTCGGCAAACAAAAATGTTTAGTTATTGGAATTCCATACCTGTTTGTGGAATTTAGCCACCATTTTAGAAGTGTGATTGAATTCTTCCCCTTTTTCTCCTGCTTCCAAAAACCATCCCTGTGGGTGGGAGTGTCAAATTATAGAAAAAGCTACTTACGAAACCTTTAAGAATTAAACCATGTGTTAAGATCATGAAAAGTGTCAAGCGATTACTGGTTGATGTTTTTACAGGAAAAATGCTTTTTTGTTCCCATATTATTTGTTGTTACTCACTTTTTACTCTCACTTCAGCGAGTAATTTTGCTGTTTGACAATTTTACAGGATTTAGTCCCCTTTCAGACACGTCAAGTCTTGCCTTCAAGTCTGCTCGTTCGTAGGCGAAGGAGGTGGGAAGAGTACAGATACCACCGTACCGTCAATTCGTTTCAAGTTTTCCTGTCTCTTTTGATCTTTTCGTTACTTCCCATTTAAGAACCAAGGACTTGAATTCAATTAAAGTTGACGCGTGTGGAAGCAAATAGAAAACACACAAGGAAATGCGAAAAAAATTGCTTTCAATCTGAAAGGGGACTTACCACGAAAAGTATCGGATAAGAGCTTTAGAACCGATTCTCTAAAATCGATTATTTCGAGAATATCTTCGATTCTGGAATGTAATCGGAATCGATATTTTCATCCATTCATCGCATCTACAATCAAAAAAGTCAGCTGTTTGTGGTCGATTTTTTTTTTTAAATAATCTAGATTTGGTCACAAAAAAAAAAAACAATTATTTAATTGAAAATGCGAATAACAAGTTTATTAAGTGCAATACCTATTAGGGAACCTGTCCACCCAAAACGAAATGTAAGTATGCTATCATGAAAAAATTTCTTTGCCGCGCAAATCGACTCCAATCCGGCCAGGAATTCTTCAGGAAATCTTTATATATTTTGTAACTTCTTCTTTGCAGAATAAATTAAAATCTTTGGCGATTGTGACCGCCGGCGCGACCGTTTTTTATGCGGGCGTTTGCGTTTACAAAGGCAATGAGAAATTCTATAAAAATACATTAATGCCTTTGACGCGATACTTGCCGGCAGAGATGAGCCATAACTTGGCCGTGTTAGCTTGCAAGTATAAAGTTTTTCCAGCACCACGTCAACCAGACTCACAGAATTTGGTACGTATATAAAAACTTTATGCAATTGAAATAATCTCTATTTATATGTATTACAGGGCATTGCATTTTTTCACAAAAAAATATCCAACCCAATTGGCATTGCAGCCGGTTTTGATAAGCAGGGTGAAGCTGTCGAGGGTCTGACAAAACTAGGATTTGGTTTCACTGAAATTGGCTCGGTTACGCCTGAACCACAACCTGGTAATCCGACACCACGTGTCTTTCGGTTAGTGAATGATGAGGCTATCATAAATCGATATGGCTTTAATAGTGAAGGTCATCGAGTGGTATTCGAGCGTTTAAGCGAGCTGAAAAATGTGCGTGGTTTTGACGGTGTGTTGGGTGTAAATCTGGGTAAGAATAAAACCTCAGATTCCCCTATAGCAGACTACGTAAATGGCGTCAAGGTATTTGGTCCCATAGCAGACTACTTAGTGGTTAATGTCAGTAGCCCCAACACACCCGGATTACGTGACTTACAGGGTAAGAAAGAGCTCGAACAATTATTGGCGGCAATTGTTGAAGCCCGTAATTCGTTGGAAGTCAATAATAAAATTCCCATTTTATTAAAAATTTCACCCGATATAAGCAAGCAAGATATCAAAGACATAGTTGGGGTTATAAATAAGAAAACTTGCCGTGTTGAAGGTCTAATTGTATCTAATACTACAATAGCACGCGAAAAGTTAACGGAAGTGGAACTGGCTAATGAAATCGGAGGTTTAAGTGGTGCTCCTCTACGATCAAAATCAACTCAATTAATTGCCGATATTTACGCGCAAACCGGCGGTAAGATTCCCATTGTAGGTGTTGGTGGCATTTCTTCAGGTCAAGATGCACTAGAAAAGTTGGAAGCAGGCGCCTCGTATTTACAATTGTACACAGCCTTTATATATGAGGGACCGCCAGTAGTGACGCGCATTAAAAAAGAGTTATCCCAACTATTGGAAGAGAGAGGTTACAAAAACGTGCAGGAGGCTGTGGGCAAACAGTACAAAAACTATCTTAGTAAATAACTAAGACACTTCGAAATACTTGTGTAGATAAGTAAATAATAAGAGAATTGAGCTTTATACAAATACATACATATGTATTTTATTTTCGAAATTTATAAAGTATTACGTAAAGATGTAAATATATGGTTTTCTTAATTAATATTCAAAGCTGCTTGTATACTCTGATTATCTATCCCAATTATTTTAAGATGGGTTAAGAGTTGGCTGGCTGCACGTTAAGTACCCTTCCTTCGATGAAATGGGTATTTTTATTAGACGCACTATTGAAGCCATCGCGACTGCTGAATGATACAAATCCGTAACCTTTTGAGAAACCCAATTGCTTGTCAAAAACTATAGCAGCGTTGGCAACGTGTCCAAAGTTTGAAAAGTAGGACTGCAGTTCCTTTTGACTAACGGTCCATGGCAGATTACCGACAAATAGTTTATATGAATTACGTGCTGCGCCAGACATGGTTATTTTTTTTCTTTATAACACAGCAGTTTGGTAAGAAATATGTATGTATGTATATTTCGTTTAATGTTCTCTTGTTATTTCGATCAAGTGAATAGTATGACCGCCCATTAATTCGACCAGATCAATGCCAGAGCTTTTACCAACGTCGTCAATGATTATTGGCACCGCACGCAACTTCCACTTCTTTAGCAGCGCTTCAATAGACCAATCTGCGCTACGCTCTTGGTAAGTGCAAATAAATTTTGCACCGGTATTGCGCTCCAGTAGGAATGAAATACTTACTAGTATATCTTCGAATACGCTTGGGTCGTAAAAACAGTCAGCACCGATTATCAAATCAAGTGATCCAATATTAAAAACACTATTTAGTAGCAGCCCCCAACTGAAACCGATTACTTCTATATCCTTCCCTGGCACAAGGTTATTAGCCAAACAAGATTTACGTATGTGCGCTAACGACTTTGGCAATATGCAATTGTCGCTTAGTATAACACGTGCACCACACTTTGCAGCCAAAATACCAGGAAGCGCTGTGCCCGCACCCAACTCGAGTACACGTTTGCCGACAAGGTTCTGGCGCCTTTCCCACAAAAACCAAGCTAAAACAGGGGCACACGGCCAAGTGTAGAAAGAGTAGCCGCTTTGTAAAAGCTATAAATTAAAGTGAAAATTCTAGTTACATCATTGTTTCACAAATGCATACTTGAAAAATCTGTTCGTTTATCTATGTATTAACACATAAGAATGTTTATGACATATTTACCTCTGGTATTTTAATTTCCAAATTCTCCACAGATTCAGCTGCTACGCCGTTTTCTGATGCACTTGCGCTTTGATTGGTAAATACAAACTTCCTGATATGCTCAGCGATATCGCTTCCACCACTACCAACACTGTCGATTTGTGTATCAGCCGCGCTTGTTGCCGCTGTCACCGATGCTGCCGATGTTGTTCGTTCCTTATCGTTTTCTTCATTTAATTGATAACCACTGGTCATATTTTGAGAGTTTAAAGACAAGACTCGATAAATAACACAATAAGCAATGTTGTTTTTAAGTAATTAAGCAATGAATATACAAATAAACTACGCGGCTTCAAAACAGTTTTAAAAAGTAGAGCTGGAAAACTATCAATGGCACTATCGACAGTATCGATGGTTTGCCTATTATTCCCACTATCGATAGTGTCGTTTCTATAGGTTCCCTGCAGTAAATCGCGCTGGTTCAGAACTAGCGCGGAACTAGCTCTCTCGATCTATCCCACAACCCAGTCTAAATATACAAATCTAAATTTTCAAATCAAGTTGAGTCTAAGTATGGCAAAACTGAGCTTTAAATATCAGTAAATGCGTGTATTCATAGTCAGCTGTCGAAGCGACGCCAACGCCAACGCAACGCCAAAGTTGTAGGTTCTTTCCCGTACGCAACGCGCGATCCCGCGGGTGCCCAAAACAGCCCAGAAATCATTCCCGTACTCAACAAAATGGGTAATAGAGAGCGAAAGTTGGAACGTATTGGATCGTAAGTGTAAAATTGGATAAAGGTCAATGTTCACGATAATTTTTTTCCCTATCAATCCGGACCGGATGCGGTAATTAGAGAATAAGCGAAAAGTTTGCTCTCAAAATTGGAACATTGTCCAGAAGTACGGGAACGCTAAAAAATTTTTCGTGCCCAGATTTTTAGAAACAGCTAATTCACGTTGTCTTTTTTTGTCACTTAAATGGAAACACTTTGGATTACCAAAGAAACACAGCTAAAGTGTTATTAAAATTTCCCATCAGGTGGAAATTTAGAGTAAACAATGATTGGCAGCACTTTTGTGAGAAATAACGGAGCGTAGTATTTCCTGATGCGCTTCTGCGAAAATTGTGGAAATTTTTTAAAAACTTGTGATTTTAAAGCTAAAGTATTTTGCGTTTGTACACGACAACAAAGTGAAGCAAAATGGATGAAGTTATGGCTTTTTTCGATTTCTCGAAAGAGTTTAAGCGCGAGTCTGTTCCAAGGGGTTGTGTTTCTGGGAGCCTTACTGCGACTGCGGGGAAAATTGATAGTGGCAAACCCATTAAACGTGAATATTTTGGAGACCAATATTCCAAAAAGATTGCTGAAAAAGAACGGAGGCGAATGTTAGAGGTACAAATTGTGAATAATTATTTGCGCAATGTATTTATGATATTTTTGTATTAGGAAAATGACGATCCGATGGAAGATGCTCATTCATCACGACACGGTGCCACTTCGTCGACCTGTATGGATGAATTAGAGGACTTGAGTGAAGAAGAGGAAATTCAACCCAAAGTACATAGAATTGAAGATAACGTATACACTAAATATAACTTTGATTTGAAACGCGATGAATCTCTACCTATACACGATAATAAAGATCAAATCTTGGAGTCCATACGTAAACATCCAGTTGTAGTGCTTGAAGGTGACACTGGCTGTGGTAAAACTACCCAGGTGAGTTAAAGAATTACTTAACGTAAAGATAAAAAAAAAATGCCGACGACTACATATCTCTCTTTTGCTCCAAGAGTGCGATAATCGAAAATTTAAAACTATATAAAAACGGCTTTAAAGTTTAAGGTTTACAGCTATCACAACATGAGGTAAACAAAAACTGTCTTTAAGTTATCCTCGGAAATCAAAAGAGACATGCTTTTTGGACCTTATTTCCGCGAATGAGTCTAGATGCTTACAGATAAATCGGAAATCCCTGTAGAGTTTAGAACAATAGAATGTCTTGAGACGGTAACAAATTACCGTTGATTCACGGTAACAAATTACCCCAAATCCACGGTAAAAAAATACCGTACTTCCACGGTAAAAATTATCGTAGATGCACGGTAAAAATTCCCGTATATCCACGGTAAAAATTACCCTAGGTCCACGGCAATATCAAGATGTTTGCTTGCCTTAGATCCACGGTAGGAGGTTATGTGAATTACGTGGAATATGTGTTGCCGGAGAAGTGGGGCAGAACTTATTTCTCTGCGTTGGCGGCTTTCGGCAGCGCTTAGGGATTATAACCCTTACTACGCGAAATTCTCTTTTCTGTGTTGCCGGAGATGCGGAAATTCTTTCTGCGTATGCGGCCTTCGGCTGCGCTTATGGCTTATGACCAGGGACGTGAACCGGTTTTGAACCGAACCGGGTTTGAACCACAAAAACCAATTTTATCTATTAATTAAGTGAACTATTAACCGAACCGAAAATTTCCACAAATGTTTGATCCGAACCGAAAGCCGAATCACTTTCCATAAAGCTTTAGCCGCTACAACAACAACTTGCCGGTTCGAACACACTATCCCATTTTGACTTGATCTAGGGCGCTTTTGACCCAAATTGTGAGATAAGTAGGGCGTTATTGAGCCATTTTGTCAGATAGGGCGTTTCCGAACCGGCTGCTGAGATAGGTCGATCTTCCCCTTTTGATTGGAAGCAGAGTTCCAGCTACGAATAGCATTACAAAGAATATAAAAAAGAAATCTGTTTTATATTGTTATATTATATATATATATATATGTATATATAATAGATGAATACATATAGCTTATTTACTTCAATACTGTCATAATCCAAAAAGTACAAATATTGAGTTGAATATGCAGAAATTACAGCTACCTCTTTCTATATTTTTTGAAAATTTCCTTACTGTATCGACTTCAATTGTAGGAAAAGTTACATTTATTAGTTTTCTTTAGGAATCATTTTAATATCTTCTGATAATTCGGCTTCTAATAGTTCATCTATTTGTTGTTCAATCCCTTCTTCTTGATGTACTTCCGGCATATTGTCAGATCGGTATTTATATTCTTCCTGCGATTCTGTTAAATGCACAGTTGTAACATCTGATGTACTTCCGTCAGCGTCGTCGTGTTCACTTAAGTCTATCGTGAGATCATTTAAACTTTCACAAGACTCTAGTTCTTCCAGATCTTCCAACAAATCGTCAGGTAATTCATCCGTAAAAACTGTGCGAGCCGACATTCGTCTTAGGTTTTTATATTTATTTGATTTTTCTTCGTTCGCCGCTCCGTCATCGTCCTCAATCTTTTTGTGTGCATGAGTAAAGCCTTTACGCTTTAAATTACGCCTTGTGTTCTCTTCTTGCACTGATCTATTTTTTCTGAGTACGCGTTCTTCATCGTTAATTATGGTATGCATAGTTTGAAAACTCTCTTCGATACTTTTGAAAATCGAAGTGGATGGCAATGATTGTTTATGCATGCCACTTGTGTTAGATTTAACCAACATTTCCTTCATCTCATTATACCCATCTTCAAGTACGCACAGCGCTGGGAGTATGCGCTGAGTAGCCGGAATGTCTTGTAATTGCTGTCCAAGTTCCTTACCACTATTCTTACAGCAAAATGCAACATTTTTTTTGTCGTCCAGTTTATCATAGTCAACCAAATCGTCTAATGCCACGCAATAGTTAAGTGCGGTAAATCGAAATGCTTTTTCTTGCAATAAACGCCAAAATACGTAGCGAGGAGCGTCCATATCTGCAGTTTCGGGCAATGAATCTATGAAATTTTTTATAGCTCGCCATGTTTCTAAGTTGGTTTCGATTTTAATAAAACGCTCAGTTGGCTGTTTGAAATAAATCGCATAAAGTAAGTATATGCAACAGATTCGTCTCCGTAAACGTTCTTCATCAAAGTGTTTTGCAGTTGTATTTTGATGATTGCCGTCCGCTGCAAGTTTTTTGCTTTTGCTGTGGTTGCTCTTATCAGCTTTCTCACTCTTCCGCAGTACACTCTTTGCGTAGTACATTATCGCTGATGTCGTCTGCATTATCTCAATATACGAGATTTGTGCGAAGTAAATATGTTGAAATTGCAGCGTTTTCCATTCCTTGCAAAATGAAGCAAAAGAGCTATCGCCGCTGCGAACGAAATTTTCAAGCAATTTTCTGCAGTCATAGAAAATAGCGGATTCCATGGCCTATTGGCTGTTTATAACTAATAAATGCTAAGGACAAAGACTCCAATGCTCCAGGATAAAATGATTGAAATTGTTTTTTTTTTCTTGAGGAAATTGTCAAAAACTTAGAGCAGTGCGGCCAAACTTATGGGATAATTTTGTTTTTGTTCATTAGGGACATTTTTGTTTTTGTAGGGGAAATTTCCAAAGTACTTGTTAGGGTGATTCTTATTTAGTCGAGACTTTAGAGAAGTATACATGTATTCAGGGTTGTTGCGAATATTCGCATTCTCAATCGCAACCGCGAAGCTCCCGCATTAATGTTGACATTGGCATTCGCTTTCGTATTTTCAATAACCAATGCGGAGCTTTTGCGAATGCGAATATTGTTCAAGTGAACTGATAAACGTATATCTGGCAAACAAAATGATAATTTTTTGACTGTGGAGATGCTACGTTAAAACTTTCCCACTATGTCCCCCTTCTTTTGTAATTTATAGTCAAAGGGTAAGATCTTTCAATAGGTACCTAATTCCGGCGAAAATTTTCCACGTCTAGCTATAAAGAGAATCCGTAATTTGCGCGATAAAATATAACCTTTAATTAGGTATGTGAGAATTATGTAGCTATCAAATATCATGATTCAATAATACAAGGTTAGATAATTATTGACAGCTGCGGTTTGACACTCCCTTACAAAAGGTTGCATTTACGAAGGACAGAGAAAGGGCAAGAATGCAATCCCTTGTTTCGAAAATGGTAGTAGAAAAGTACGCAAAGTAGGCAATTAGTACTGAAATTCCTTTCGTAAATTCTAATGTGTTTGCAGGAAATCTGGCATTTTAAACGAAATGTTGAACGTAATATTGATATATCTACGTGACTTACGTAATTTATATGCTATTTAGCCGTATAAAAACTACAAAACGACTCAAAATTAAAGTAAGACTACTATGAGATTGATGTAAACATCCAATGCTTAGGTTTTCATCAGTTAAATATGCTTCATATGCATATACAAATAAACATATTGCACAAAAGCGTATACTTTTATTTCACACCAAAGCTACACTGTTTCCATGTAAATTTGCAAAGAAGCAACACGGTGCCACGGCTAAGGGAGCGGTGCGAGAGAGACAACTGTCAGTTTATCGAACCTTGTATTATTGAATCATGATCAAATATCATTTGTCAAAGGTCTGTTGAAAAAACTGGATGCATTGCTAGTTTTGTTTCTACTTTTTCTTAGATAAGTGTAATCATTTTTTTTCATAAAAAGGCTTATTGTTTATGATTAGGGTCCGTATTTTCTTTTTTACTTAGCAAAACACACCAACTAATTTTGATCGTTTTTACGATGCAAATACTCCTCTGTGCGCTCGAAAACAAAAACATTTATTTTATTTTGTGATAATTGTCAAAATTTGCACGTAGCGGATTAAAAATAAAATGGAAAGTGTAAAAGTTGACAGTCAAGTTCAAAAATCAAATAAGAATCAATGTAAGGCGAATTTAATATCTATTGAGGAGTGGGACTTGACTTGCAATATATCGTTAGTATAATATGGAAAGGGCGTAACTCACATCGTCGGTGAAATACAAAAAGCCGTAACTAACTAAAAATCCAAAATTCACTTTTTGATTGATTATGATACATTTCATCGAATCATAAGTCCCCACATCGATTTTTGCAATACAAAAATTTTAGTTAGTTGTGGCTTTTTTACATTTAAGCGACAATGTGAATTTCGCACTTTCCATACTATATTAACGACATGTTGAAAATTTGGGTTCATTTGGCTCAAAATATAAAAGCACATTGAGCGCATGGAATGAACAACAAAACGGATTTGATGGCTTTTAGTACCGACAGCGGTGAGTAACTAATTGTGACTACCTACAACTAGGAAAAGTCGAGCTCAGCTAATAAAAAAAAAACTAATTACAAGCTTTTCATGGCAGGTGAACTTTTCAAATTGCCATATCCACCTATTCCACCTGTCGGCCGCTGTGGTGTAGTGGTAAGCAGTGCGCGCTTCCACTCCGCAACGCCTGGGTTCAAGCCCTGGTCAAAGCAACATCGCAAAAAATGTAGAAAAAGGTTTTTTCTTAACAGCGGTCGTCCCTCGGCAGGCATTGGCAAACCTCCGAGTGTATTTCTGCCATGAAAAACAGCTTCTCATAAAAATACAACCGCCGTTCGGAATCGGCGTTAAACTGTAGGTCCCCCCGCTTTGTGTGACAACATCAAGGCGCACGCCACAAATCGGAGGAGAAGCTCGGCCAAACACTAAGATATGTGTAAGCGCCAAACTATTATTATTATTATATCCACCTATTTAGAACCTCGCTATAAGCACACATTTTTCAAACCAGTCACAGAAGAAAGGATTAAAAATGAATTACAAAAACTAAAGTCGAAAAACATTTCTTTTTTTTAAACATCCGTATCCGCATTCGCATCCGCGGATGTCTAAAATTCCACATTCGCAACATCCCTATTATGTATGCATCATAGGACGGTCTGGAAATTTTCTTTCGACATTAGGGCTGTTCAGGATATTGTGCATATGATCTTGCGATTGCATATTTCGGTGCAATATTGCAAATGCAAATCCAAGACAATTTTACCAATATCCCGGCATGATTACGAAAACCGGGAGACAAATTTTGAACAACGACATCGATAAAGGTTTTTGAAACAAATATATCGGTATTTTTTTTTGTGGGAAACGAGAACCACAGGAGTTACCAAGGGTCAAAGGTCAAATTCATAATGTTTTTTTTTAGTCCAAATATCTCGAAAACGAAAGGACGGATTTAAAAATGCTTTTTTTGGACCAACACGTACTCGCTGTGAGCATATCTTTGTTACTTGACAGTTTTAGGCCAGTTTCTCAATGTTTGGTTAACACTAAGGGCCGGTTGTTCAATGTCTGATTAACACAAATCGGAGGTAGTTAAGTTTAACAGTGTTGCGGATTTTAAGGCCATTTTTATATACATTTGTACATATATCAATTTTTATAATAATCGTTTTAAAACGTTTTTTTTTTTCAGGTACCTCAATATATACTGGACGAGGCCTACGAGAATAGGGAATATTGTAAAATTGTTTGCACACAACCACGTCGTATTGCGGCTATATCTATTTCTAAGCGTGTCTGCCAAGAAAGAAAATGGGAAGTTGGTTCAGTGGTTGGCTTTCAGGTAAGCTATGGATAACAGGGCGCTACAAAAAAGTCATGAAATACACCCGAAGCAAAACCTAGTGTAGGTTGTAGCTATGGTCGAGTACAGCATAAGAATAGGTTCCGTATAGTTCCTGAACCCTCCATTTTTATTTTATTTAAAAACAACCGTTATGTTCGTACTTGATGCACTTATCTATTAACAGCTTGACTATTTTTCATCCGATTTTAGAAACCGAACATGTTTTGAAAAGAGGATTTATAGGCCTTTAAAATTATGTACATATATATATATTTTTATGTTGTACTCGACCATAGCTACAACCTACACTAGGTTTTGCTTCGGGTGTATTGCAGGACTTTTTTTTTTGTAGCACCGTGTAATTGGTTTATTAGAATATGTATTTACAAATAAATGTTTCTTTTCTATTCCTCAAGGTTGGTTTACATGCAAAAACATGCGAAGATACACGCTTACTTTACTGCACAACTGGTGTGCTGCTACAAAAATTAATCAAAGAAAAATCGCTTAAGCAATTCACGCATATTATTCTTGACGAAGTGCACGAACGTGATCAGGAAATGGATTTTCTACTTATAGTCATAAGAAAACTACTAACTACAAATTCTCGTGACGTAAGAGTCATACTTATGTCTGCTACCATTAATGCAGGAGAGGTAAGTAGTGCTCGGCACGTACTGTAATAAATTTAGTTTGGGCGTTAAAATAAAGGCTTTGTTTTTTAGTTTTCCGAATATTTTACAATACGTCGGAATCCAGCGCCAGTTTTGCGCGTTGACTCGCGTCGTCTCTTCCAAGTGCGCGAATTCTATTTGTCCGATCTAGGTCGCATTAATACTACAGTAAGTGTACATATTTTTGTAATCGATTAATACTTTCTTCAAATTACCTGTACTTTTCGTATATCTTTTTGCTTTGTAGAACATCGATGTGGATATTTCTGACCCCGGCATCTCAAAAGAAATGTATAATATTGCGTTGAAATTGATTATTGTTATAGATAACATCGAGAAACAGGAAGCTGCTGTTTCAGCCGAAATAAGCCCACTGCCCCAAACATCTATACTTATTTTTTTGCCTGGTATTAACGAAATCGATCAAATGTGCAGCAAATTGGAGTTACTTAGCGAATCTGATGAGTATGAATATTTTTCAGTATAATATCAAAACTAAAAAAAAAAACGCTGTAATCTTTTTCTTTTTAGAAACAATGTAAAACTATTTCCCATACGTTTGCATTCGTTGATTTCACCAGATGAACAAAATAAAGTATTTAACAACCCACCAGGCGGTTTTCGTAAGGTTATATTGGCTACAAATATTGCAGAAAGTTCCATAACTGTGCCCGATGTTAAATATGGTAAGTAAAATACATAATTCATTACGTGCCCTAAAAATGTTTATTAATTCCTCATTCCTTTAAAGTCATTGATTTTTGTTTAACTAAATCTCTTATCACCGATACCGCAACCAACTTCTCTTCTCTGCAATTGCACTGGGCATCACGCGCTAATTGCCGTCAACGTGCTGGACGTGCGGGTCGTGTGATGAATGGCCGTGTATATCGAATGGTCTCGAAGAATTTTTACGAAGTATGTACATTTTTGAACTGAAATTATAAATTATTTAAAATCTTACAAATATTTCAGCACTATATGGAAGAATTTGGCACCGCAGAAATGTTGCGTTGTCCGTTGGAAAACGCTGTACTCAAAGCCAAACTACTTGATATGGGACCACCTCCTGATATACTCGGTCTGGCCATGACACCACCAAATCTTTCCGATATACACAATACTATATTAACACTTAAAGAGGTGGGCGCTCTTTTTACGACAGTGAATGGTGTTTACTCCATACAAGATGGTGATTTGAGTTTTATGGGACGCGTGATGGCAGGCATGCCGCTCGATATACGTCTTACGCGGCTCATATTGCTAGGCCATATATTCAGTGCATTGGAAGAGTCCATAATAATGGGTAGATTTATACTTTATAAATATTTAGTTTATTTTTTCCTAATGTTTAAAATCATGATTTTTGTAGCTGCCGGCTTAAGCGTGCGTTCGATTTTAAAGTCTGGACACGATAATCGTGGTCAGGGCGAAGCGGATGCATATAAACAAAAACTAATATGGGCTGACGGCTCTGGTTCGGATCTATTTGCTATCTACAGTGCTTATAGGGTGAATTTTTTTTATCACAACGTCATTTGATTACTCACTTAAACTGCTTTTATTTGTTTTCTTAGCTTTGGGCTACACAGCGTGAACAACATAACATCCACCATGAAGAAAACGAGTATGAATGGGCCAAGCGTCACTTCGTTAATTTGCGTTCAATGAAGGAAATGCATTTGCTTGTCACAGAATTACGTGATCGTCTACAGGCTTACGGCATCCGTGAACAGACTACATATCAGCGTGTTTGTTGGGTTGAACGCGAAAAGACGATTATTTTGAAAATCATTATTGCTGGCGCATTTTATCCTAATTACTTCACACGTTCCAACTTAAATGATACTGAACGTGAACGTGGTATTTACCACACTCTATGTGGCAATGATCCCTGCAATACGGTATACTTTACTGGCTTTAATACACGCCACATTGGGCAGCTCTATGCGAGTTCAATTAAAGCCCTGTTTCGTAGTGTGTGGATAGATCCTAAAAATATCGAGGTGCGTTTTCAAACAGGCGCAGAACGGGTGTTTGTCACATTCAAAAAAGATCTCGAAAATGATGCGGAAGATAGCGCCTATAGACTAGTTGTGCCAGGGCGTGTAGTACCCGAGGTATATATGGCCGTGCGCATGCGTATGCTCGGCATGCGTACCACTATACGTGTTATGGAGTAAGTATAACGGCAAAGTGATCTAATTTAAAATAAAATCTTCCAATTTTTTTTATCAAATTTCTTAAAGCCCTCGCAATGAAGTTAGATATGCAGAAGAGCGGCGTATTGGCACGATGGTTGAGGGTGTTTGGCAGCCTACTAAAAAGCAAATAAAAAATCCCGAATTGGTGGTATTGCCGTCAGTGTTCCAAAAAATGATACGCGGTTATATTACACATGTACGAATGCCGCTTGCTGTGTATTTGTTTACTCGTCTGTGTAATAATTACAAATGATTTTTTTTTTTAAATATCCGCATTTAGATTGTGAACTGCAGCAAATTCTATTTTCAACCACTCTCTGAAATGGAACGTTTACGTGAAATTCATGCACTACTGAATAATCCTGAAGACTTAGAGCGTGGTCGTTTTAAGAGTCCTGCAGCTATATCTAAAGGCATGATGGTGGCGGCACCTTTTGAAAATAAATACCATCGCGCAAAAGTGGTAAAAGTGTTGACTGCAGCTCGCCAGTATTGCCAGTTTAAGGTAATTTAACATACAATTTTTCTAAAGGAAACTGAAAGCTAAAAAGTATGAGTGAAATAACTTACAAATGTTCTGCGAATAGCGCTCATAAATGTTCTAAAGCTGGGCGACTACGAGCTAGGTTCGATAATTTTTTGTTATTTAATTTAGAAGATATAGCAAAGATATCCTTCAAATTATATATGATCATTGATCACTCATCATTTTTTAGGTGTTCTTCGTCGATTACGGCAACACGGATGTAATAGATTTCGAACAACTGCGCCGCTTCTCCTATCGCTGTGAGTCGCTCATTGACATACCGCCACGTATGTTTGAGAGCCGCCTAGTCATGGTGGAGCCGTCATCGGTAAAATCACCCAGCGGTAAATGGCCCGATGAAGCTATGGAATTCATGCAACAGACAGCCGATGCTGGTGTTGTAGAAATTGAAATCTACTCAGTGGTTGCTGGCGTTTCGAATGTCATTATAAAAACTGCTACAGGCACGCTTAATGATATACTGGTTGAGAAAGGCTTTGCACAAAAATCAGATGAGAATTATATGTCCAAGGTTGGTTACTGCGATGCTGGCGATCTAATTAATTCTTAACGGCTTTTACTTTCATTACCTACATTTTCGAACTTGTAGGCCGATCATGATTTTCGCTTGCGAAAGCAATCTGTTGCTACACGTTTTCTTGACGAAGACCATTCCAAACAAAATGAAGAATATTTGCGTTCAATACAACCAGAGGCTGATTTGGAAGTCGATCCACCACCGCGCGAATATTGCACGAAATCCATTAATTTGCGTGGTCCTTATAGTGCGTTGGAAACGAAGATTTTTTCGGCTGTGCGTATAGGTACCTGGAAGAGTGTGAATGTCGAACGTGATTCGGTGAATTCGGTATTGATCGATACAGATCCACAAGATGTCCATGAGCGTCTCATAGTGGCGGCTAGTATAACGGAGGCACAGAATGCAGAAACACTTACAGCACGCGCCACAACACTGATGCCAAATATACACGGTTTTGGTGCACTAATGACACTGCTCTTCAGTCCGACTATGCAGATAAAACGAAATAGTAATAAGACAAAATATGTTGCCATTTTGGCGGGTTTGGGTTACAACAAAGAAACCTATAAGCCACTCTATGAGGAGCATGATATTGTTTTGAATTTGGATGCTGACATATTGAAGGATGATTTGGAGTTGGTTAGTAAAAATTGCTCTTGATAGCTATGTTATTACATAATTATAAAATCGCTAACGTATTTTCAATGAAACTTTTTTTTAAATATTTTTAGATCAATCAATTACGTTACTGCATGGACACAATTTTGTACACCGATCCAGGTGAAGAGCGTCCAACCATTTTACCAAGTAACCGCGCTTATCTAGCAGCTAAAATTAAGAACTTAATTGTCAGGTAAGGCCGGCGCGAAGATAAAATATTACAGAAATATTCACAATATTTTGACATAGAATGTTAATATTTATATTTTCGTTTCAAATAGTTCTTTTTATACAATTTCGCTTACTTTCTTACACTTCTTGGTTTCAGTATTCAAATTAAGAAATATTTATGTGTGAGGAGGGTTAGTGTGCTTAATTGTTTACTTTTACTTCGATTTCAGACTGCTAAACAAAAATCGCAAATACATTGAGACTCATGTAGATAGTTATGATAATGTCTGGCAACGTTACGATCCGGAAGATGTGATTGAATCCGAACCTATTTATGGACATCGCTCCCTGTTCCCCGTGCATTCTGCACTTAAGTTGTATGATGAGAAATTCGATCGCATACATGCATTGGGTGTACACTGCCAGGAGCTGCATCGATTACGTCAATTGTAAGTTGCGATAAATTTTCCTCAAAAAGGTACAATTAGACTATAACTTAGCATACTTTCTATTTTAGTGATGGTGCCATACAACCGCTCACTTGTCAGCTATGCAATCAATCTTTGGAAAATATTGTGCAACTGCGTATACATTTGCTTTCACAGTTACATCGTGATCGCGAGCATCAGATACGTTTCAAGATGCCGCGTTAAGTTGCATGGCTGTGAATTATTTTTACTGATAAAACGAAAAGCATTCGTTTATAAAACTTCAAATGGATATATAATTAGTCTTAAGTTTTTTTCTATTATTGACGATTTCGGTTTATAACTGTTTATTAACCGGATTAAAAAAAAACAAATGTAGGGATTTATAAAGCTTACTGTGCAAATAGTTGGCACATTGAATTAAAAAGTGAATTTGTTTTTTTTTTTTCATTAAACTTACTACTCATCATTAGATCATCAACTGAATTTATTATATTTTCTCATTAATTTTTGATTCTAGTTTTATTTTATTAATAAAAGTGCAATTCTACAATCATATATACTTATATGCATATGCAAACATACATTCTTACACACATCAATTTGAAAACTGAGAGTGAACCTAGTGCTGTCCGCATTGTCTAATGACCGTTTCGGTATAGTTATGTCTCAATTCTGCATGCAGAGCGTATAATTCTGTAATGTATTTAACGGTTTGCTACAGAGTCCACACATTTTGCTCTTATACAGTCCGTAAATTTCGAAATTTAACACATTGGATAAATCGAATTGTATAGTTGAGTGCATTTGCGCGTTCTCCACAATGAGTATGTTATGTTCGGTCAATTCGACGCTACAAGAAGCAAAAAAAAGGCGAATAAAAATAAAATTAATTAAGCGAAAGTTTGCTCTTATACTCACTGAAAATCATAGTCGCTCACATCCACTGGATATTGATATGATTTTTCACGCAAATTTATCGTCGTCTCATTATTATTAACGGTGATATAAATGGGCGCATCATCCTGCAGTTTAGTTTGGTTATCCACCGGTCTAAAGGTGAAATAATTTTGTCCAATATAAACACGCAGGCCATAATTGGCGCTTAAACCGCTCACCGGCGAAGGCAGCAAAAATACAGCCATCTCTGGTAATGCCGAACAATCGGCTGCCAGCAGCGTTTGACAGTGCTTTGCCACAGTCACTTTGGTGGTTTCGCTCAAATTGATTAGATAATCATCGAAGGTGTTAATCATGCCATTTATTACCGAGCAGGATCCTGCAAAGCCAAAAGTTGTATGGAATTTTCTATATCTGCCGATTGTTCTTTTTTAGTGGGACAACTTACGCTTGAGTCCTGAATCGTAGGATATCTCGTGTGAAGCATCATACTTGGAGTCCAATTTTTGCAGAAACGGTATATGATATATGCGCCAATTTACGCCATTCACCTCCACTGTCAGCCAGAAATAGTCGTTTGGCACATGTAGGGAAAATTTGATTTCTTCATCTAGATTTAGGCTCTCTACTTTCCTCTCAGACAAAGCTGATACGAAATGATCGAGGCGTGTAGACCATAAATCAAACCAGGCGGGCATCTGCAGGGAGATAATTAGATGAAATAGTAGGTAAAATACGGCCTTAATAGGGGATACTAAAGTAATTTGATCCAGATATTCGGTTAATATCCGTTCTAATTTGTCATCCGGATATCCGGTCAACATCCGTTCATTTTGTTAATGTCTCAATGTTATAAGCATAAGGTTATATTTTAATTCATATTATAAAAGAACAAAAAAAAAAAAACATAGTCTATCCGTCTTTATCTCTATCCGATTCTGTCTCTATCTGTACCACTTTCTCTATTTCTTTTCTATATTAATCCCAATCCCTTCCCTTTCGTTATAATTACATTTATCTTAATCCATTTGCAATTGTGGTGAGTTTAGGTGTGGTGAATTTAGGCATGGTGAGATTGAGTGTTGGATTCAGGTGTGGTGAGTTCAAGTTGATGAGTATGTGAGTGGTGAGTTTTCTCTATCTACATATATACTTTCCTTTATAACTACTTCCATCTTAATCTTTTTCCTTTATTTTATTTTTACTTTTATCGTTATCCTCACTTTATATTTTTTCCTATATTTATCATTATTTTTACCCTTGTGTTTATTCTTTATTCATCTGCATATTCACCTTCACTTTTGTCCTTATATAAGTAAAGGGCTTAATGTGCTGATATTTGCCTTTATCTTTGCGCATCTTTGTTTTTGTTTTAATTATATTTTTTATCCTTGTCTTTATCTTTTCCTTCATCTATGTACTCACTTTTAGTTTCATTCTTGTATTCTCTTCTGCAGGTTCTGCACTTCACTTTCGAGGAGATTTCAACCCCTGCCAATTTGAATTCACTCGGAAGGGAATTGCAGCACCAGCCGGTACGTGCATACATTTATGAAGCACTTGTTTCCGTCCCAACCATTTCCGTTGCGTTTGCCAATTTACTCGCAACCGCCGCTACAGAACTTTCACCCCAAAAATACGGATAGAACTCCCTGCTGTAATCGATATTAAAATGAGATGAGCACCGCGTGATTTACTATGCCTACTACTCTTCACAATAAGGGGGTGAATGTGCTTAAGCAGAGGCCACATTAAAGCCTAGACTTCTTTCGCGTCTTCGCAGGCGATGAGAATGTGTCGCGGTGTCTCGCTGGTAGAGTAGCAGAACCGGCAAAGATCATTGGACCATATCGTGAGCTTATATAGATGCCCCTTTAGTCCGCAGTGTCCTGTATACTATTTGCCTGACGCATTCCTACCGAATTTGCCAATTTACATACAGTGCCGGACAAAAGTATTGGCACAGAGATTTTTTCGCAATATATGCAAAGTTTTTTATTCTAATTTATTTTCAATATTTTTTAATAAAAATATAGTTCGTACTTCACCAAAAAACATAAAAACAAAATCTCTAAACTTTGTGCAAAACTCAGGAAAATTCAATAAATTGGCATACTAATTTGCAACTTCTTATTCAGATTTTTTAGAGAAATTCTAAGTATGTAGTTTTATAGCCCAACTAATTTTAGTAGTGCAAGTTTGAAGTATCTAAAAAATTGCGTTGATTTTTGGACATTTTTTTTAGTAGAAGGTGTTGCTCATTTTCTCCATACAAAAAATAATTGTCGAACATACTTTGTACGGAAGAACCTGACTGAAAAAAAATTGCCAAAAATCAATGCGATTTTTTAGCACCTTCAAGCTTGCACTTTGTTATACTAAAATTAGTTGAGCTATAAAACTGCATACTTAGAATTTTTCTAAAAAATCTGAATAGAAAGCTGCAAATAAGTATGCAAATTTATTGAATTTATGAACAAAATTTAGAGATTTAGTTCTTATGTTTTTTGGTGTAGGACAAACTATATATTTACAAAAAATTATCGAAAATAAATTAGAATAAAAAACTTTTCAGATATTGCGAAAAATTCTCTGTGCCAATACTTTTGTCCGGCACTGTATATCCATCCCTCAGTGTGTTCCTCTCCCACCCAAGCTCCTGTATCTATTCAGGTTGTCCCCTCCCGTTTGAAGAATTATTTAGCTTTGGTAGTCGGGGGATTCGACAGCTGGAATTTCAACGGCATCGATATAAAGATTAGGATCTCCTTTGTTACGGTGGCGTAGAGTATGCAGTCGGATTGATCTACTTAGATTTTATTGGACTTTGAAATATTGGATAGATAAATTGCGCTATTTTCTCAAAGACCGGCTATAATCGACTGCGCAAGTTAGGTAAAATTAAGTTCGTTACTTAGGCTTGGAACGAAATTTATCTCTTTGATATCACTAAGTTCTAACTGAAACTACTAAGCTATTGGGAAAAGTAGTTTGGGCCTAAAAATAAAGCGGCTTTGAAATCGACAAATAGTTAGCGTGCGTCAATCCTATTTTCGCGAGTCTTCCACGATTTGGCGTATTGTGAATGCCTGGTCTATTGTGGGTTTGCCAGGTCTAAAGCCTCACTCATAAGGTCCAATTAGTTCGTTGATAACTCATCGCCGCCGTACTTGAATAGCTCGGCTGGCAGGCCGTCAGCTCCAGCAGTTTTGTTGCTTCTTAGCAGATTAATTTCGATTCTGACCTCGTCATAGGGAGTCGCTGGGATATCGTCTCCATCATCATAGTTGTTTGAGGCTGAGGTTCGCCTTCTCCACTTCTTATAGTGCTGTTACCACTCAATAGGACAATTTAAGTACGTTCTGAACATCACTAGCTAGTTCGCCATGGTTATTCTAACAGGCGCTCGCCCTGTCGTGAAACCTTCTGTGAGTTACCTAACTCTCTGGGGAAATTTTCGGGGATTTTTCCTGTCGCTCTCTCAATTCTTATTACTTCAAATACGTCTCGCTTCCCTCATCTGCTCTCTACAACAGTTCCACATAGCTCGCGGTGCGCCCGATCGCAGCTTAACCCTGTAGGCGGCATCTTTTTTCTCTGTAGCTTCGTTGCATTCCTCATCGTAACAGTTGTCCTTTCGAGCTCGCTGAAATTCGACTACTTCTTCGGCGGCGGTATGTAATAAGTAGATAATTAGGATCCACTGTTCGCATATCTCAGTTTGTTGAACAGTGCTCTCTGAGAGCAAGTGTGAGAGTCTAGTGGCGAATTGGCTGTCTGTTGTGACTGCAGCTTTTCTACGTTCAGCCCGTTATCGGACGTTTCGTCGTTGAGGCTGAATTTTGTCACCTTCTTTATTGCGGGTCCGGACATTCCAGGTGCATACCCTTAAATCGTAGCCCGTTAAGTGTTTGCCGTAGTTGTCATCAAAAGAAGGGGGTCTTATCCGACGCTGCAGACTTCGGGGAGCCCTTAAACCGAATATGTCGGAGTAGCCTCACCGAGTTTCCCCCTATTTCTGACGTGCCTAAGGCTTTACTCGGTGCCCAGAGTACGCGAACGAAGATTGCCATCCCCATTTTATTAATCTTAAGTCTTTAGAAATTAGAAGGACTGCTCTCTCCCTGTCCTTTACATTTGGCGTGATAAACAGTGATACTGATTTCCCCTTTTTGCTTCAAGTTATTTAATTTCTTATTCCAACGAGAACTCTTCGTTTTTATTATCCGTTTTATGTTAAGAACCTCACTACAAATTATGCGAGGAATGCTCCTTTGGTGCGTTCATTTCATGAACTCAATGAGATCTCGATTTCTATCTATCGTTTTAGTCAGTAAGAACCCTTGTAGTTTGTTGACTTTTTGAAATACTTAAATAAATAAATTTGGAGCTCGCTAGTAAGTTTAAGGATATCTATTGTCATGTAGGCGAAGAGCAGTTAGCATTGGAAGGCATTTCTCGCCAATCCTG